TGCCTTGAGTTATATGTAAAAAAGGCGGAATAATAATGATGATGATGATGATGATGATGATGATGATGATGAAACGCCCCCCCGTTAAGTTTCCAAGACCAGAGTCCAACAAGATGCACTTTTGCTTCTGGGTAATCTAAAAGCTCCCTTTGGAAACGTTTTTGCCAGGCCAGCTCCACGGCGCCGGGATGGGAAATTCCGGCTCCCACCCCGGGGAACAAGGAGCCCCTCAGGGGCCTCTTCGCCCGGGTCCCCAATTCCCCAAAGCCCGGCTGCGAAGTTTCTGCAACGCCACCCCTTCCCGTTCCTGAGCCCCGGTATCACAGCAATGCACCGTCCTCTGCAGTCCCTTCCATCACGAGGAACCTCGGTGCATGCACAGAGTGCACTTCCCCATGCGCCCGGGAAACACGTGCTTCCTCCTAATGGGCCTTTCAGAAACAAGGTCGTCGGGTCTAGGAGACCAAAACGCCCCATCGTCAGCAACAACGCCTTTTCACACACACGCGCCCTCCCCTCCCCGCCCTCTGAGACCCCGAGAGTCCAAATCCGGCCGGGACGCGTCTTTGCACCCACCTGTCCCCTCCGCCATCTTGCCTCCGCCACGCGCTGCCTCAGACCCAGGCGCGCCACTGCGCTATCCCGCCAACCCGCTCAGACAGGAAACGGCCTCTCCACCCACTTCCGGTTCCTATCCCGGCAAGCAGCGCGACACAGGGGCGGGGCTCAAAGGATCATCGAGAATAGAGAAAGATGGCCAAAGCCTGTCGCCGTACCTTTAAACGGCCGGCAGGGGGTTTAAAAAAAAAAAAAAAACAGAAGAACATAGACTAACGAAAGTTAGACTTACCCGCTCTTCTCTTCCTTGCGGGTCGACTTGAAAAATGCGTGCGTACAAACCAGGGCAAGTGCTTTCCGTTTCTAACGGAGCAATGGCTTTGGAGAGAAAGGACGCCAGGGAGAAATGGCACCAGACCAGTGTTTCTCAAACTTGGCAACTTTTAGACATGTGGTCTTCAACTCCCGGAACTCCCCGGTCAGCATGCAAGCCAGCTGCTCGCTTTCTCTATAGCTTATAAGAGCACTTTGAGAAACCTAAATGAAGTGATTTCTCTGTAGACACGAAACAGCCCACCATCCCTTGGCCCATATATGCTGAAAATGGTGTGCCTTGCCTGGGAGGCTACTCTGGCTGAATTGGCCTCACTTGAGAATAAGTTACACTGGTACTTAGACCGGACGGCACAGGGGGAAGCAATCTCTGCGCTGACATCGGCTGGGGAAGCTCTCTTCATCCCATCAGTGGGTTTGGCTCACAAAGCGCAAGCAGTAGGACTCGGGTGTTTTCAGGGACAGAGGCCCAAGCTTTATGCTGTCTTCTTTCGAATCATCAGAGAAGACATGCCCATTTGTCTTATCAGAAAACCACTTTGCATTCTTCTGTAAGAGCAGTATACAAAGAGATGTATATTTGCACAGATATACAAAATTGGTGGTCCTGTATTTGTAGAGAAACTCACCAAGTTATTCCAGTCTTTTTGGAAGCAAGGATCTATTCCTCAGGAACTTAAAGATGCATCTATCATACACCTCTACAAGAGGAAGGGTAATCGACAAGCATGTGACAAGGCATTCCAATCGCCCTGCTCTCCTTCACAGGAAAAACCCTTGCCAGAGTTCTGCTAAATCATCTGGTCTCTCATCTGGACCTGGGCTTGCTGCCAGAGTCACAGTGATTGACATGATTTTTGCCTTGCACAACTTCAGAAGTGTCAGGAGAATTGTGAACTCTATACAATCTTTGTTGACCTCATAAAAGCCTTAGATACTGTCAGCTGACAAGGCCCGTGGAGGATCATGTCAAAGTTCGGCTGCCCTGCCAAATGCATTCAGATGGTATGCCAGTTCCATGTTGGCATGATGGCCAGAGCACTGAATGGTGGAGAATCCACTAAGGCATTCCCACCATTGTCACCAATGGTGTTAAACACTGCTGTCTGCTGGCACCCACACTGTTCAGCATGATGTTTACTGCCATGCTGAATGATGTCTTTCAGGACAACGATGCTGGAATCAGCCTCAAGTACAGAGTGGATCTCAGCTCTTCAACCTGAGACTTCAAGCTATTACCAAAGTGGAGGAAACTGTTCTGAGAGACTTCCTCTTTGCTGATAACTGTGCCCTGAATGCTGGCTCAGAGCCAGGGATGCAAGTCAGTACGGACAAATTCTCTACAGCTTGTGACAACTTTGGGCTCACCATCAATATTCAAAAGACTGAGGTCATGCACCACCTGCTCCTCATGCACTGTACACAGAACCCAAAATCTCAATCAGGAGGCAGAACGACAGCACCCTCTCTCAAGCAGTGACCACTGATACAGAAGTAAACTGCAGGATAGCAAAGCATGTTCTGCTTTCAGTAGACTGCGCTCCACTGTGTGGGAATGTCAAGGAATTAGTGCAGCAACAAAATTGAAGGTCTACAGAGCTGTGATACTCACTACCCTTCTGTATGCCTGTGAAACATGGACTGTGTTTCGAAGGCATGCAAGACAGCTTAACCATTCCCATATGACTTGTCTTTGCAAAATATTCAGCATCAGATGGCTAGATAAAGTAACAGACACTGAAGTTCTCTCTAGAGCAAGTCTACCATTAATCTACATGCTGCTAATGAGAGTGCAGACCCAGTGGGCAGGTTATGTCATCCATATGCTGGACTAGCGGATAACAAAGCAGCTTCTTTTTGGGGAACTCTCTGCTGGAAAACACTCATGTGGAAGGCGGAAGAAACATTTCAGATACATTAAAGGCCTCCCTGAAGTTGCTTGACATAGACACAACCACCTGAGAAATGCTGGCACAAAATCACTCTACTTGTTGTGGCCTCATCCATAAGGGCTGTCAAGCTTATGAAGTAAGACACACTGCAGAAGTACAACATAAACATGAGCTGCACAAATCTAGAGACATCACTGCAACATCTACATGTTTGCCCAATATGTGCCCGGACAGTCTGTGCCCAAATTGGCCTGACCAGTCATCTTCAGACATTTAGTTTTAACTTTACTAATGGTGCTGAGGTCTTCATCAACAACGATGGATGAACAACAAGAAGTGGTATAAATTAAAAAACTCCATACCAAGCCATATGCTTGGTGAAGTCAACATTCCTCCTGCAACAGATATGAGGTCAATCAAATTGTTATTAAAATACAGTATGCCAGCTTTTTACCTAATCAGTTTGTTGAATAGGCTACAGTTGCTTGGATTTGCATAAATTAAGCCAATATCAAGCAACCACATATGAACGCAGCTACTGAAATGCTTTAAATATGATGGAAACAAATTGGCAAAAATCAGTCTGGCAAGATTTTTAATGTTATAGCTCAAGTCTCTTTTTACTCAAATAATGTAAAGGGCACTTGTTCAAAATTAACAATATGTATTTAAAATTGAATACACCTTCAGAAAAAAAATGGTTACTTAAAAAAAAAAACTTCCCCACATTCCAGTAAGAAACCAGTTCATTTTCAAAGAATTAATGTTAGAGCCAAATTAAATTATACAACAAGCTAATTCTCAGGCAAAGTTCACAGATTTTTTTTTCAAGGCAGAAATTAATCCAACACAGAACCCTGAGAATGCAGTTTAGTAATCCATTTGGGTTCAAATAGACAAATATTTTGAAATTCCTACAATTCTCCCAAATTGTTGTTTATATTATGCATGTTGATTTTAATATAGCCTCCATCAGAAGCATAGTACTGAGAAGAATCCAGTATATATTTGGTGGATGATACTGACAAAAAAAGCTGCTTAAAGCTTTCCATAATCTCAGTTGAAACAAGGGAAATGTTCTGATCAGTTTTCAGCTGACATCGCAAATCTCATATGATTTGCACTGTGGCCTGTGGAAGAATTCTAGGAAGCTGCAAAACAGAATATAGGCCAACAGTAAGCTATATGGGGAAGTCCCATGCAGTTCTCTGAAGTTCATAATTAAGTTCAAGGAATGGCAAGGTAGAAAGAATCAGGAATGTCAGGACAAAACTCCCTCTGACACAGGCAAAGAATCTGTTTAAAAAATGGTAGGAGATATAATCCATCATATTTGGGCCATCTAAGTGCCCTCACCTCACCATATGGGATGGTTAATGATGACCTTTAATGCACGCATAGAGAGGCAAGATTACGAGTTTCAATGAGTTGAGTACAGGAGTTGTATAGGTACAATTACCACCTTTCCCACTAACTCTGACTACTGCAGATCTCCTTCAGGCAGTTCTGCCTAAGTTCTTCGCCTCCTCAGCGAGAGCCATCCATGGAAAAAGTAAGGCCAGGAACACAAACTGTCAGAACCCCTGACCCGAGGGGGCGATCATCTCTTGCACAACCAAGTGGAGAAGGTTGTTCTGCTCAGCAGTGAGCAGCGGCCAGAGTTCCTTCTGCAGCACCTTCAGGGACTCCAGGTCTTTCTCCTGGCAGGCCATGACAGCAGACTGGAGCAGCAAGAAGAGCTCAGAGGGCATGTAGCCCGAGCAGGCGTCCAGGGCCTCCCAAGAGTACTTCTCAAGCGTCTGGGCGTGTTCGGGCAACAGCTTGGACGGCGGAGGCTGCAGCAGGAGCAGGAGCAGGAGCCGCGTCACCTCGCAGTGGAGCAGCTGGTCAAGGAAAGCGCCGGGCAGCGAGGTGGCACCGGCGGCGGCGGAAGAGGCGGCAGCGGCAGCTCCGCTGCCACCCTGGGCCAGATGCTGGGCCTGCGTGAGCACCGCCAGGGCGCCGTCGTAGTCGCGGCTCAGCAGCAGGCAGGAGGCCACGTCGCGCAGGCCGTGCAGCGCCTCCAGGGGCAGGTGGCCCGCGGCCAGCAGGTCGGCGGCGCGCAGGAAGGCCGGCACGGCCTGGCCCGGCTCGCCAGCGGAGCGCAGCTCGTTGCCCAGCTCCAGCCACAAGCCGGCCGCCAGCGCCGGCTGGCCCAGGTCGACGTGCAGGCGAGCGGCGAAGGCCACGCAGCCGTGGGCGGCCGGCCGGGACTCGGGGAGGCCCAGCACCGGG